TTCATCTTCTGATGTAAAGTTAATTGATGGGTGAACGCTATTAAATATATTAAGTAAATTATGCTTATCATTTTCTTTTTCTAATACTATGAAGGTATCATCTATATAGCGATAGTAAGTTGGTAAATGGGTAATTGTACTTTTAAGTGGTCCATTTTCCAGTTTTGCAAGGAAAATATTGGCCAGTAGAGGGCCCAATGGTGATCCCAAGGTGTTCGAAATGTTGAAACCTACAGGAACAATTACACCAAGACTATATGGCCTACCGAAAATACACAAAAGTGGCTTGCCCCTTAGACCAGTATTAGATATGAATAACTCAGCCTATCATAATTTAGCAAAATGGTTGGTGCAAATTCTTCAACCATTACACAAAGAAATTGTCAGACATAGTGTCAAAGATTCCTTTGAATTTGTGGAGAACATAAAAAATCTATCAGTCAAGAATAAATTCATGATATCACTTGACGTATCATCATTATTCACTAATATTCCACTACTCGAAACGGTTGAATTTATTTGCAATGAACTAACGGCGAGACGCATAGAAACCCCGATTCCCGCATGCGCGATAAAACAGTTAATTCTTAGATGCACTATGAACGTCCAATTCAGATTTGACAATGAATACTACAGACAACTAGATGGAGTCGCCATGGGATCACCATTGGGCCCTCTACTGGCCAATATTTTCCTTGCAAAACTGGAAAATGGACCACTTAAAAGTACAATTACCCATTTACCAACTTACTATCGCTATATAGATGATACCTTCATAGTATTAGAAAAAGAAAATGATAAGCATAATTTACTTAATATATTTAATAACGTTCACCCATCAATTAACTTTACATCAGAAGATGAACAAAATAATAGCATATCTTTTCTAGATGTCCAACTAACTAGAAGAACAGACGGAACTATAAAAAGAAGAGTACACAGAAAGTCAGCAGCTGGTCAATACACTCATTTCCACAGTGCAGTTCCAATTAGATACAAAAGGAACTTAATAAAGATCTTGACACATCGTGCTAGAATGATCTGTTCTGAAGACACTATTGAAGATGAATTGAACAATATTCGGAACCTACTCAGTCTGAATGGGTACCCAATGAAATTCATCGAAAAACATATGACGGAGAAGAAAACAAAGGTAAAAATACCCACTGTCCCCAAGAAGGTATTATTCATAAAACTTCAATTCATAAATGACACCATTGAAGAAGTCATGACTCAGAAACTAAGAAGAGCGGTACAAAAAACATTCAATGCTGCCAAATTAAATGTCATCTTCTACAACCACCCAAAAATAAGAACATCCATTAAAGACAGACTGCCAGAATTCGCCAAATCTATGTGTATCTATCGTTTCAACTGCTCCTGTGGAGCCAGTTATATTGGGCGTACAATTCGACAGGTCCGTCAGCGCATTACAGAACATCATCCAACATGGCTAAGCAAAGGACAGGTGAAAGTGATTAAAAGTTCTATTCTCTCTCACTTGGTTGACACAGGTCATCAAGTCGAAGTGAATAAAGCTTTTAAGGTTATCTACAATATTCCATCAAATCTACCACATGGTTTACGAGTGCGCCTTTTGCATATTGCGGAAGCCATCGCAATCCATGTTCACAAACCTGACCTTTGCATCCAAAAGAAATTCGTACAACCACTTTCTCTACCCTGGCCTTCAGCATAACATTTCCGTCAGAACTATTTTTCATACTTCTTCCATTTTTATTTTTATTTTAAAATTTTTGTAATTTTGTTTCTATCGCTTTTGAGCCTTATAACTTCTCAACATTCATCTCTTGATTCTTACGTAACTACTATCCTATTGACCATCCGGTAAAATTCTATTCCTTCTTTGTTTCTTATATTACGCAACATAGCAACTTCTTGATTACTTTGAATATTAATAATCCTCTCTCTTCCAATTACTGAATGTTAATTTAAAGGTCATTATGTAATTATTACGTAACGTATCCACTCGATGAGTATTATATGATTATTGTAAAACGTATATATATTAGTGTAGAGCCATGATGAAAAACTAATTGAAAAGAAATTTCTTCGCTCAAAAATATTTTGACCGTCCTCAGTATTGAAGTCAACATAATATTACCTTTTTAAAATGTTTCTAAATATTATTTACTTCTTATTTTCAATTCATCATTTTGTTCATACCGTTGCAATAATGAATGTGTTGGCAGTGGAATTGTAGTTCCCTTTTTTCTAAAATGTCTCAGTAATGGTAATCGCTTTATTAAGTACAAATCGTAGTTAGTTTTCGATCCTCAGCAAAACTAAATTACATAGTAAATAGTGATAGCGTTACTGTCCTTTGTCAGTGCTACGGACACATTGATAACTGATGAGGTTCGGATTACGTAGTTTGAGTATCATCAAACAGTAATACAATTTCATCCTCATACTCACGGTTGAAAAGTTTTCCTCCAGGTAATGGATTCACACCATTCACCACATACTTCAATCAGAGCTATTTCCAGAATGTCATCAATGGAAAACTTGGAGAGTAGGGGTGAGATTGTACAACCCTGTCTAACCTCACTAGAATGGGACAATTGAAAGAGGTGGTTGTGTTGCCCTTAATTTACCTGAGGTGTTTGCATACAGAACTTTCAATATTTCAGTAAGCTTCCCTGGCACACCCTTCTTCAACAGAGAACAGCCCTGTCTAACGAATCGAAGACTGTCCCAATTTCAAGGAGCATAACAATTGTTGACTTGGAATAAGAATAGTGGTGTTCTAACGTTCGGTGGAGAGCAGAGATATAATCAATACATCTATCTATACATCTATTCTATCTGAAGTTTGTGCTGATGATGTCGTTCAGAAGAACGATGAAAGCTCCACGATCAAACCATCCAGCTCAGAGAACAAAACTCCACCAAAATAATCAATACATTCTCGACCTAAATAAAACCAGCCTGCTCCTCATGGGTTTCGAACAATATGTGAAGCATGATGGAAGTCAATAGTTTGGAAGCAATAGGGAGTAGATCTGTCTCCTGATATATGCTGCATACATAACGTAAATTCTGTTTAAAGATACCGACGACTGTCGCTTCATTTCAGGATGTTGGAACACTTTAATTCTCAAACTTTTCCAAACAATTCAGTCAGTTTTCTGACCAGAATTTCCCCACCACTCTCTAAAAATGGCTTGTGGCAAGTAGTCTGTGCCTCGTGATTTATAGCGCTTCAGGAATTAGAGTTCCCTGTGGAATTCCACCTCTTCAGGTGGATCAGTCGTCACCGGCCATACCGAACAAGACAATCTGACAACTGTCACCTGGGCAGCAAAGCACATGAACTGTTCCTCGATAAGCTCTAATCATTGTCTAAGACGTCACTAAATATTATTGATTTGCGTCCTATCAGCTTTGCATATTGTTCCACTCACAACAGACCTCATGCTCCTAGTGGCTTGGAAGAGTTGAGATAGCTGCCATCAGTTACCAGATGCAGCTGCTGCTTCCAACTCATTAACACGCTCCGGCCACTGGGCCTCTCAGTCATTACTCAAACTTTGCACAATTTCATTCCTTAAAAATTCACGTTTATTGTCAAACTCTCGGTCACCTGGAGTAGACAGATGTGCTTCAATGAGTTGTAAAGAGCCTTTAGAAACTCAGCGCTTATAAGTGGGACGTTTAGCGAAGCTGCAGGTGTCTTTACTCGCCATTTTCATGGCGTCACGTATTTCAACCAATGCTTATCCATAAATTTTATTGGGCTGATAGCTAACCATAAACCTAGCTCGGTTTGATATTTAGGTACAATGAAAAGTCCAGCTAATTCCTTTGCATCAATCCGTTTGAGACAATTTCTGTTGCTTTTTATTTTTATCTCACTGTAATGATGTAAAATATGGCGAATTGAATTAACATACAGTTTTATCAAGTTCTATCTTCATATGACTGACATTGTGATAATAACTGACATCTTATTCATACCAATAATCACTGAAAAATTTCTAAAGTTCTTGCTAGGGTTTTTATTCCCAAGTATCATTGTGTGTAAAATAATAGGCTTCGCTAACTGATGTTTCAACAGTGTCAATTGCAGTTATGATTTATGTTTCGGAGATAATTATGTAAGATCCAACAGTATCACACATAACTATCCCAGAAATTGTGCAGTTCACCAAGTGTTCTGCAATCTCTATATCCTGAATAAATGTGAAAATTTTGCAATTAAAATACCCTGTTCAGTTAGCAAATGAGAATATTAGAAGTATATTGGCAGACTAAATAAGCAAACAATCATCAGAGCACAACCATATGATTTATCTCTAAGATTCATGGAACTAAAAAGTACAAGTGACTTCATCCTCCCCCAAACAATAATTTTATCCCATCGAAATCAAATACCGACCAACATTACACCACCATCGGTAATCTGGAAGCACTGGATATCTGTCTCGTCCTAGTATGGGACTCCAGCAGTGCACATCCACGATCTTGCACACGGGGTTCCGACCCAGGACCTTCGGTATCGTGCGCGAACGCTTAAATTCTAGACCACCTGGGCGGAATCCAACGGCGTTAATGTCTAACTTCAACCAATCCACGTTGTCGCGCTACCATTTTCCATTATCTTCCGTTGATAACTGCTTCACACCCAACACGTTTGAACTCCACTGGTCACGGCATCTGACTAGAACTTTGAGAATTCCCTCTCGAAGCCAGTCAGTAGAGAGCACATGTTAATTTTCAGTCCCATACTAGGACGAAACGACCATCCATTGCTTACACTTTTTCAATGGTAGTCTAACAGTGATTGATTCATGATTTCAGTGAAATTCGATTATCTTCACAACCCCAATCTGAAAATAATTTTATCAACTTTAAAATTATACTATTTCTGTTTCTGCCTATTTGTATGAAAGGTTCTTTATGTCAGTGTCCTAATTAAATTCAGTAAAATCATTTTACTAACCAACTAATAAGTGGCTATAAAAAAATTGATACTGTAAAATTTTAACATTTCTATATTTCAACTAAATCATTATTTTGTTTTGTTACGTAAATAAAACTTCCACTCTTTGATCTACGATTCACAGCTGATGATAATTCTGACCAACATGATCCCCCTATGATTGAAGGTGAAAAAATAAACAAGGCCATCACTAAACAAATCGATACATTGGTTAGTTCATTTGAACGAACCAAACTTTTCAAAGAATGTGGCAAAAATTGGGATCGCTTCTACAAGCGTAATGGTGTTCGATTTTTCAAGGTTTTTATTACTTGGTATAATTTTAATTTTAATTTATACGATTGTGTAAAATAAAATTTGGCGTTGATAATATGTATATATATAACATAGATGGTCCATTACAATCTTATTTCCTTTGCACATAAGATCAGAAGAACGTAACTTGTCGTTTGACGGATATCGTACTAATTGTTTTATGTCTTGGGATGCCAACCAATGTCACGTGTTAAATTCACGAACCAAAGTTCTAATTTTGTTTATTCCACTTCTGTTATTTATTTTATATCCTAGTGTCTCAGATTTAATCAATTATACATCTGACCAACACGGCTGACCTCGAGCTAACACTGCTAAACTTTTATTAATCCGTTACTCACAAGCTTTTCTCTACACCCTGTATTGAGTTCAAAAAGTCAGCAACCAGTTTCCATTATTGTTATATTTCAAACGCAAGTGGATTTACATATAAAAATACTGGACTGCATCGCACCATAAAACGCAAAATCACAATTATACATAAAAGAGCCGAAAGTGTCTGCGAATAATCAATTTGCAATAAAAAAGGAATAGTATACAGCTCACTAATAGTTAATGGATTAAACGAAAGCGTAAAATAAGCGAAATATATAGATTTAGTAATCCACTTACTTATTATGCAATAGAAATATACATAATAGTAATAACAAGACGAAAACCAATCCGAAAAGTTCCAACTTTTATGATATCACATAGTGACAAATGTCACTATGCCAGTCAGTAGCATCAAATGAATTCATAAAGGCTATTGACGTAACCTTAAAATTTAAAGCCAGAAAAGCATCAGATCCAGTAAAAAGGTTCTTAGGGTTTTTTCCGCGATAGTGTTTTGTTTGGTACGCCTATTGGATCTTTTACGATTGACGGCAGCCGTGTCACAAGCAATGCTCCATCTACCAACTCTCCGAGTGCTCAGGGTATTTTGTGCAGAGTTCTTGTTTTATTCAACGTTCTGGGGTGAGTAAGCAGACGATATTATGTGACTATTGTTTCTGTAGAACGTGTCAACCAGTACGTTTGAATTATTTCTGGAAGTAATGTACACGAAAAACGTTGAACGGTAACAAAGGTATTTAGTCCATTGATATCGTTTTTAGTTTCCATTTGTACGTCAGTATATTGAACAGAAAGATTCCACCTTTTTCTGTTTCCTTGAGAACAACTTATTGATGACAAAGGAAGAGTAAACTCAAGCGTTCAAGCTACGTGCTCAACTACTTCTGCAGACTAACACCAACTTCGTTGAAGCCACGCACAGGGTTATAAAGATGTATAATTTAAAGCGTACTGCTTTACGTTGTGCATTTCATTTGTTTCTGCGAAGTAGCTACTGGTTGCAGACAAGGTATCATCAAGTGGTCGAGGATTTTAAGATAGTTACTGTCCGTAACACTCATGGTATGTTTGACTTATGAAGACGTATAGGTCCGCGCTCTTGTTAACTTACGAAAGATGGGATGCACATATACATTGAGCAAATTTTTAGCCAATGGGGAAATAACTTTGCAGTACGAGACTTTACTGGACGGTATATTATCTGCACGAATACCATGAAGTGTAACTGCTATTTCTGGTGCGAAACGCAATTACCGTGTAGGCATTTGGTTGCCTACGCAGTACGGTTTAATGATACAGTAAACCGCATAAGTTTGTGCAAAGGGTGGTAATTATTATCTGCTGACTCCTTGTATCCAATAAACATGCTGCAGAACATCCTAGACACCGGTTTTGCAGCTGACGCTAATGGATTTCGCAAGATTTTCGAGTAGTCTTGTGATTATTCACCAACAGTTCTGCCTGATAGTTAATTTAGTCCTGCATATGATATGTGGTTTGGCGATTCTAGTCCCATTGTACAAATTTGCTTCCATTGCCCCTATAAATCACCCACATAGTTCGAACAAAGTTGTTACCTACGACTGAAGATTAAGAAATACCAGTCAACCATGAATTTCGCCATAACGTAGACCTAGGTGCCTTTGTTTCCAGCAGTGACTATGATCACATTAATATGGTAAGTAAGTCGTATTTATTAATTCTCATGCTAGACTTGTTTTTTACGAAAATTCGAATAAAAGTTCAGCACTTGAATTGCTTCAATGGAAACAACTCGTCGTCTAAAAAAGTTATAAAACTTTCATTTTATACCAGTAATGCACAAGGACGTGCCGAACTGTTGATAAAATGGTTTAAACTAAGGAGATTTCTGCCTTATCGACCAACAGTCCAGAATATCAATTTCTGATTTAATCATTTACTGATCATCAAAGATGAAATCTAAATCTATCGAATCTTAGATACGGTCTTTAATTTTCCTACGCTCATGAATTTTATCACTAGTTTTAAGCAGCCTCTTTAGCTAATATCTTTTACATTGTCATTTCGAAAGGTGAATTCATTTTACTAATCATTGCCAAATCTCCTACGTAGGCTACTGCTTGTTGCACCACAGTTCATTTATCCTAATGCAATATTCTACTCGAGTGATGATTAAGTTGGTATTTTATCCTTTACAATACTGTCAGGGAATAACTTTCTTTGTTTTTTTGATCTAAAAGGATCGCCATTGGACAACACGCGAGTTTACAGAATTATCATCCTTACATAACAGAACTCCAAGATCTCTTCTTGAAGTCGGTTGCGGTGTTGGAAACTTTCTAGTTCCTTTAATTGAAAGCATGCTTTCCATTTCAAAAGCAGGTATAAATATATCAGAAGAATCTTGTCGTGTTTCAAAAACAAACGGTTAGTAATCATTAATTTACACATCATATGACATCGAAGCGGGGATTACTGTTTGTTTCTAAATAATCTATTCCAGCAAATTAGGTCATAATTGTATTCTGAACTTGGCGATGCTCCTTTTTATTGAGAATCTACTTTTCTTTGTTTTTTCCCAGATTTAAAACATGTTTATTAAACTTCGCAAATTATCAAATACTTAGCTCTCCCACTACCAACAAAAACATTCGGAATTCAAAATAATTTTAGGTTCAACAGTCATATTCATCAAATGATTTTTTCGCACTTGCAATTTTCTTAAAGCTAGTAAACTTATTTAGCATAATACTATTCTCATTCAGTTTATTTCACAATGTCATTTTTCTCTGTCGAATCTGTCAACTTACATTTAGGTTATACTTGCAACGGTACATCTACCAATAGTGTTGTGTTACAAAGTTTGTCGATAACAATGGTTTGGTTTTTCTCAATTCTTATTCTTATTATTATACAAGTTGAAATCAGATTGTTTATCTTATTGACATTATCATAGTTGTCAACTCTTTGAACTAGGATTAAAATGTAACATTCACGATTTGATGTATTGACCGTTCATAACTACCGTCCGTATCTTGTAACAGAAATTTCTTGGCCCATTTTACCATTGTTATTTATCCGATCACTTCTCGTCATGCCATTCATATACAGTTGTTTATTACAAAATACATATTGTGGAAAGAGATTAAGGGTTTGGTCAGTCAGTAACAACGTAGAACTTCGTACGTACGTACATCAGTTCGAGTTGCCACACCACATTAGCACAGAGATGCAGTGGTCGACTCAAATCCCGTAGTGCTAGATGTAGTAAAATTATAAGCTGTAATCAGAAAAATTAGGGTTTGAAGATGTTATTCACGGAGTATAATGCAGTGAAATAATTTTGGAAAGAGAAAAAAGAAAGGGACATGGAGAATTCAGAAGATTAGAATTTGGGAGAACACAAAGAGTGGATGCACCTGCGCCATTGCAAACGATTTTGAGCCATGTCATTCAGGGTCTCTAACCATCGGTTGCTATCATCTCGCGGTCCCCAACCAGGTAGTCTACACCTACCAACATGACTCAGTCTACTTGTCAGTGACTTCATGGACTTGTGCCATGTTTTGGTCTGGCCGCCCCTAGCTTTCTTCCAACCTACTATACCACTAAACATCTCACGTCGAGGCAGTCGGTCGTTGGGCATACGTAACGTGTCCAAGCCATCTCAACTGATGAAGTTTCACTACGTCATCAATTGATTTGCCATCCTTACCTAGTACCCGTTTCCTAACAACTGTATTACTTACTCGATGGTCCCATGATATACGAGCAATGTTTCGAAGACACCTATGATCAAATACTAGTAACCTACGAATATCCTCTACTCTTACCGGCCATGTTTCACTGCCATAAAGTAGGACGGAACGAACTGCTGCGCAGTAAACTCGTCCTTTGGTTGATAGACGGATATCTCGCCTACGCCATAAATGACGCAAGTTGGCAAAAGCTAGTCGAGCCTTCTGTATCCGTGCTGAGATTTCGTCACACACCAGACCACAAGGGCTGATGAGACTTCCAAGATAAGTGAAGCGGTCGACACACTCAACTACTTCACTCCCTATCACTAGTTCGGGTGTCGATGTAACCCAATCCTGAAGCAACATTTTGCATTTCGAGGGGTAGAATCGCATCCCGAACATGCTTGCATTGTTGCTTAGAGTGGTCAGAAGACTCTGCATTTTGTCAGCGTCTTCACCAAATAAAACTATGTCATCAGCATATTCTAAGTCAACAAGTGAACCTCCCGGTAGAAGTTCAACCCCTGGAAATTTAGATGAGGAGAGTGTTATCTCTAAAAGTACGTCGACGACAAAGTTGAACAAGAATGGGGAGAGTGGACAGCCCTGACGAACACCACTTGAGGTAATCAATTCTGATGACAGTTCGCCATAAGCTCTCACTCTACCAGTTGTGTTCGAGTAGAGAGCCTTTATAAGGTTAATGTACTTCTTTGGTACTCCTTTCAGTGACAAACACTGCCATAGAACCTCACGATCAACAGAGTCGAATGCCGCCTTAAGGTCGAGAAATACTACCATTGTGGGGCGTCTGAATGTGTGTCTGTGTTCTAGAACCTGACGTAGTGTGAATATCTGATCTATACAACCACGTCCAGGTCGAAAACCAGCCTGGTTTTCTCTAGTCTGCTCTTCACGAGCTTTGTTAGGCGTCGAAGTATTATTGAAGCTAATATTTTAGACACTATATTAGTCAAACTGATTCCTCTGTGATTGTCACAAGAGGACTTTTGTCCTTTCTTATAGACTGGCACAATCAGTGATTGAGACCAGTCAGATGGGATTACGTCCAGTTCCCAAATTCTACCTAAGACCTCAGTTAATCTCATTGCTAATACTGGACCACCATCCTTAAAAATCTCAGGAGTAAACCTGTCAGGGCCTGCTGCTCTCCCTCGTTTCAGATTTCCTATGGCTTTTTCAACTTCGTAAAGGGACGGAGGACCTACATTAACTTGCCATTCAGGTTGACTGAAGATCGTGGGAAACCGAAGTGTGGCTGAAGGCCAGTTGAACTGATCCCTAAAGTGTTCTGCCCATCGATCCAATCTCCTGGATTGAGAATGAATAATATGTCCATCTTTCTCTGAGATTGTTTCGCTAACGGTCGGTTTCCTAATTCCGGTTTCCTTAACGAGTCTGAACAATTGTCTGCTATTACCTATTGCCGCTGCCTTTTCCATCTCTCTTGCTTTCGCTACCCACCACTGTTCGCGATCATTGCGTAGACTTCTTGTCAGCTTGCGCTTAAGCTGACTCCGCTCTTCATTATGTTCAGAGCCAGGTGGAATGAGTTTCCGAGCATCTATCAGTGCGATAGATGCTGCTGAGATCCAGTGTTGCTCCCTAACCTTCTGGTTTACCTTACTAGCAGATATCACTGCTGTTTCCACAGCTTTTCGGATATCATTCCATGCTGCATCGGGGTGGGCATCACATACATGGCTGCCTAACTGTTTTCCTAGTTGTTCCTGAAATATACTCTTAGCTTGACTATCATTAAGTAGGCCCTAAGAGGTTTCCTTGCAGCGTCTTTCCTACGTCCAGTAAGACGCAAGCAAATACGCGCTCGCACTAGAGCATGATCTGAATCTAGGCATGTGCTCCAGAATGAGCGACAGTCTTCTATCGAGCCCCTCCATCGGTGGCTGATAGCGATGTGATCTATTTGGGTCCAACGTTGGGACGAA